ATCTTGTAATTTTGAAAAAAACAATGCATCTGAGAAACATCACAACCTGCTCCTAGCTATTCACTACAAAAGAGAAGAAACTTCACTGTATGAACTGTTTGTTACGAAAGTATTCAGTTTAGTTCCAAGAGAACAAACCAGATGAAACTACGTGTTCATCAGTTAGCTTCCTAAACTCTGCTAGAAGTGGACAGGCGATTTCATCAGAGTTGTTATGATGACAACTCTGTCATCTGTTGTTTTCTTTCTATTAAAAATATCTAACCACAGCAACTGCAAAGGAAAAAAAAAACCACTCTACTGAACATTTCTTTACCTCACATTTCCTTAGTGATTTTCCATCTCTGCAAGTGACACATTAATTAACTAGAAACCTTCTGACTCTAAGCAGGTTGGAGGTGCTGTCCCACAGCCCCGTCACAGCATCGCTAGTAGATTATTAATCTAAAGCAAAGCAATACAACTGCGGAGTCTAAAAATACCAGGGACACCTGAGTTGTTCCATTTGATTGTACTGAATTTAGCAGAGGAGAGGGATGGTCCCTGCATGCAGATTGCTTGGTGTCTGTAGTCACAACCTCTTCTGCAGTGTAAAAGCTTTTGAAGGGGTGATTGGGGGCTAGACTGGATTTTTTCATTACTTTAGCAGTATCACCTCAGAGGCAGCACATCTTGTGCTAGTCCTGCAACTCCTTTGGTAGTACATGGGATGAATTAATTGTGTTTCGTCAAGCTTATCTCTTGACGTCCTATGACATGAAAGAGATAACTGCAGTACATCATCAGCAATCAGGTGTTAGGAACCACTGCACTTGACCCAGATGTATGGCACTAGGAAGGTCATCGCTATCCAGGGGATGTCAGCAGAAAAAGGTGTAAGAAAATGGTATGGATTCTTTCCATGAGGTATTTTCCAAACCTTTAGGGAAAACTCATTAGTTGCATAATATTGGTTCTCTTAGCAGAGGCCATAATTACAAGGATGCTGCGACTCATCACAGAAGGACCGTGACACAACCTCATGGTATCTAAATTCATTTAAAAAAATTTCTACTGAAGGGCACTTTAGAATAAGGACAGTTCCAAGTAAAGTTTGCAGGAGCCTGTACCCTGTTCTGCTTTCATGCTTCTCAGCAGCCTCATATTCCCTGAATTAAGCTACTTCTAAATTTTTCTTCTGTGGGAAGATTCTCCTGAATCTATTTGTGACAGTCAAAATTCTAAAGTATGGGCAAAATCTGTGCTCCCTAAGGCTATTTCTTGAGACAGCTATTTCTTGAGTATCATTAAAGTGAGAAAAACAAACTCTGAAGGCCAAATTCATGCCTGGTGTCATACAACTGACCTAAGGTGCACCAGCAATGGACTTGGCCATGCACATATATTATGCTGTCTGCTTACAAAATGACAGAATCCAGCATCTGGGCAGGACTGTGTGCATAGTGACTGGAATGGGTTATTGAATTGTATCTAAATCCACCATCCAATGTATTTTTGGCACCATTCTCTTTATAACACTTGTAAACGAGGTTCCCTTTTCAACAGCCCCTTCGGCACTCATATTCCAGGATCTTAGCAGTGTGGGTGTCTAGTAATGCCCCCTCCCATCCTTCACTCAGTAACAATGGCATGATAAATTGTTTTTTTCTGAAATGTTTCCCAGACAAAATGTAATTTTCATCTGCATTACACAAGTTTTCACTGTTTTGTTGATGGAGATTTATTGTGGTAGACTTTAGCTGCCTGTTAAACACTTTCTAAGTGGTGAGTGACTAATAAAAATGAGATTACAGGAATTGCTTGGCGTGGGACATGCCATGTGTACAGTTTAGCTTACTTTTCCCTGCAAACTGAAGATCTTCAAACTGGGCTCCAGATTGCAAAATAATTTTAGAAAGCCAGTCTTCTATCAGTAGAAAGCCTATCAGTAACCTGACCAGTTCAATGTCTGGGGGTAGCACCACCAAAAGCAAGTCTGATGGTGGCCTCCATATGAATGGCAGAATCAATGTCAATGTAAGGAACTCAGAGCAAGATCAAAAGAATTACAGGTTCCTGTTGTAGAGCGGGATTTCTTTACTAAATGTGACTTAAAATGACAGAAAAAAATCTGTACTCTGAAGATGCCATGAGCTGTACTTAGAAGTTCAGTCAAGGCAGTGACACTGTCTCGGTGGCCTTGTACAAGACACTCACTGCTCTGTGTCAGTTTTCTTCATCTATCAAATGGGGTTTTAGCACACTTGAGTGCCCCTCGTGATCCCGTGGAGGACATTCAAAAGCCTCTGTCCAAGAAAAATATTCAGTGAAGGCACTCTTCTAATGGGTGCAGGGCTGATCTCTTTGGATGTACCTACAGAGCGCACCAGCGCCAGAAGCAGCATACTAATGTTTGGTGGGGCTCTGCCTGGCGCCATACACATCTGAAGTACCTTGGCAGTAAATGGTGCTGCTCTGAGCCATATGGATGTATTTACAACCAACGCTGTAAAGGAGAGGCCTTCAGGAATGCATTTTGCTCAGCTAAGATGCTGCAGCCCTTCAAGTGAACATGCTGCATTGCAGTGACACATCCTTCTTGTTCCATGTCAACACAACAACTCTGTCGGAAGCAGGAGTTATTGATGACTCCACCTCATATGTTAAAAGTATTTTCCCAGTACCTGGAAAATCCAGCTGTTTATTGCACTGTTCTGCCTCCAGTTTACCACAGCAGCCATGTTATTTCTTACTATGGAGTGGATGCTCTGATGGAGCTAATGCAGTGGAGTTTGATTTCTTTAAAGCATTCCAGCTGGTTACAGCTCTAATTAATTGCATGAAACAGCTCAACCTTGTCTTACCAAAGAGTCTGATCAAATTGACTTTTCTAAATATCATCTTTGAAAACAAGAAAGCAGAGCAACACAGAACAAAAGAAGCTGGAGTATAGGTGAAATAGCCTCTTTTAAAATCCTATTTATCATGGATCTGGTTGGTTATAAGGTCCCTTTTAGATGATTTCACACTGCTCCCCAAATACACACGCAGAATTTATTTGCTAAGCTCAACTCTGTGGCCTAGTTCTCTGTAAGTTACTTTCTTTTGATACCTCGCTTTGCTTTACCTCCTCAGGTTCAGTAAATGCAGATTTCTGGTAGAAGGTGTGGACACAGACCTGAAGGATCCAAAAAGGAACAGCGAACCTGCTCCTGCATCAGGTGAGAGGGAGCAAGTTCTGTGTTGGACAGCATCTCCCCTCTTTACAGTGTACCTATGATAAAGGTGGGTTAGAATTGCCTTTACTTTCAAATCTCTCACAAATTAAGCTGAATCAATATGTTTTTCCACTGTGAGCATTTGCCAGCCTCTGCAGCTCAGTTTTGCTCTGTATTTTGCCCATGGCTCCATCTATTACTTGAGAAAAGCTTCCTGGAAGAAGTTGGCACCCTTTATTCCTTGTGATTCCTGCTCAAAACTGGTATCTCTGTGGCATAGTAATTATTTTGGCAGTAAGCTGTGAGGGTGATAGTGTCTGGCTGAGAAATGTACCTATTACTCCATGTCTTCTACTCCTCATCCCAACATGCTTGTTTCTTCCCTCATTTTTTATTTCATGCCTTCTGTGTGTGAACTTTCCTTCGGGAAGAGGAGAAAGAAGTATTGTTATTGTATGTGTTCATTGTGTAGCACTGTAAAGTGCCCTTCAATGATCCCCAGCCGGTTTATTATTAACATTGTAAACTACTATCATCCTTCTGCAAACCCCAGGAGAAGCAACCGGGGGGGAAAAAATGACTTTGGATTGATGTGCAGCACAAATGCTAACAAGTGCCACCTCCACTAATTGTGGTGGAGAAGGCTGCGTGCAGGTGCTGCTTGGCACCCAGCAATTACACCACCTGCGTGTCTCATCTAGAAGTAGTGTGGTTTTATATAAGCAGTAGAAATTAATAGAGTTGCTTACTTGTAAGAGCATTCTGTAACAGATGTGAGGACTGCAATGCTGGTGGTCAGGATCTATGCAGTGTGCCATGGCTAAGGGTCTGTCCGACCCTGTACAGTTTGGGTTTCCCACCAGCTGAAGGAATGTTAAGAGTATCTCTGCTATCCCCTTTTTCCTTCTCCTGTTGTCTCTAATAAACAGTATTTTAAGCAACACCTTATGGAGTCTGAGTGCCTTTCCTGCTGGGATCCGTAACGAATGCTTGACCGGTGCATTACGCTAATATCACCCATTATCTAACAATTAAAAACTGTAAATTCTCAGGCTTGATACAAGCTCATCCTCCTGAAGTGAATTTCTCAGCAAATTAAGGGTTTAGATTGCAGTGAACACCTGGGGAAACTCTGCTGCCCTTGGGTTTGCAAGAGATCATGAATATTCATTGCAGAGCCAGCAGAAGGCGAATAGTAATTACATCAGTTCTTCAGGATGAAGCTTGGGAATCCTCGAGAGACCGCGTTATGCTTTGAAATTAAAATATATGGAAAAAAAAAATAAAACGGGTATTATTAGTTCTGTTAAGTGCCTGTAGTAGGTATTACCGTGGTCAAACGTGTCTCCAACGCCCTTTCACGAGTGGGTAATGCTATTAGCCTGCTACCCATTGAGGGCAACGCTGATGCCGGGACTGATGGCCTTACACCTTCAGGAATAAAAGTGCGGTTTTTCTCCTGAAATATCCCCCGAGAGCTTCGTACCCGCCCGTGCCGGGAGGGCAGCGCAGGGGACCTGGAGACACCCGGGAGGCGGCGGCGCCACAGCAGGACAGGGCGGCCTCTCTGGGCCCCTCGGGCCGAGGACGGCGGAGGACGGCGAGGCTCCCCACCCTTCTCCACGACCGGCCCAAGGGGCTCCGGACCACCGCGAGCAGCCGCGGTAGGAGCGCGGCAACCCGGCAGACGCCGACCTCCGCTCCCCCGGGTACGCCCTGCCCTCACCCAAAATGGCGGCTGCGGCGCCTCTCCCGCAGAACTCTCGCGAGGTTTGCGGCGGGGCCGGGCGCTGCCCCGTGCAAATGGCGGCGAGGAGGCCGGGCCGCGCGGGCGGGCCGAGGTGAGGCCGGGGGAGGCGGGCGGTGCTGCTGCCATGGAGCACATCACCACCCCGAAGGTAAGAGGCCGTGCCGCCCCGGGAGCCAGCCGCCGTCCCGTCGGGGTCCTCCCGCGGCGCCTGGGGGTGGCTAGGCCGGGCCGGGGC